TCAGGTGTGGCACTCCATACTTTCACAAGAAAAGTAAAGTTATTATGACTCGCTCCCAGTTTCTCTCAACAGTCAATAAATGGGGAAACAAAGTAACTTATCTGAAAAATATTTTGATGTAAATTTGAAAGTAGTGCGTTACTTCACTAGTTACTTGAAAAATTGAAAAAAAGTAATCTGCGTTACTTGTAATGCATATATTAGAATGTCTTAAATGAAGCATGGTCTCTCTGGCTTGCTGTTAATAGCACAGCTTGTTAAATGTCAGTCTGACCTCAGCTTGACCCACATTGTTCAGTTCAAGTGTAAGTGAATCAGAGGGTTGTTAGTATCAGTTTAACGTTTTGACACACTAACTAATTAGCTATTGCATTAGGCCTGTATTTCACTCGTTTCAGCTCCATTTTATGGCAGTTTGACGTATATAACGCGTTATTTATAACCTTGATGGGTTTATTCCAGCCACAGCCAGCTCGAAATGACTCGAAGGGAACAAATGAAGTAATTCCCGGGAAAAGTCTAGTAGGAAGCCCATATAAGGCTTTAAGGGGAGGAGTTATGGAAAACGTCACGACGCTGGGGATCTATAAAAGCGTTCAGCGTCGCAGCTACTTCCGCTTCGCTCTCCAAAACAAGAGTGTCGACCAACACGAGCACTATCTCCTTCACAGACTACGCTTTAACCTTCAACTCTATTTTAAGTTTTCTTTCGCGATCGCAGATATGACTCTGAGACAGATGGCCGCGTTGGGTGTCCTCGCGGAGGAGACGGACGCCGCGCTGAAGCCGCTGAGGCCCGGGACGAACGGCCTGAGAGGCCTGCAGCTGGACGGACGGTTCGTGTCCGCGGGAGACGGCTCTCTACCGGCCACCCCGGACCCGCAGGAGCTCGGTTCCGACACGCAGCAGCTCCTGTTGGATTTCTATTGCACGCACACCGGAATGAGCCTCCCGGACCGGAAGCGTCATCACGCGTTACCGACGATGACACGCGTCGTCGCGGACGTCCTCATAAAGCACCAGATCACTTACAGAGGTACGGCGCATGCGCAGTCGGTCGTTTGTTGTCAGTTAATCGACTAATCATAATAATCCATAAATGTGGTGTTGCTCTACTGTACAACTTTCCATGTGTTTTTAATATTAGCCAACGCTACAAAAATAAAAAATAATTTCACTTAAGTTTGATTTAGTTAGTTTTTTTTATGTAGCTATTTGACCTTAAATGACTTGTGGTTAATGTTTCTTGGTCTTTTTTTTATTTATTTTTTTTTATTTTTTTGGAGGTCAAACCTCGAAGTTCGTCACTGCGATTCTTCGAACTGCAACAGGAGAATAGGGTCACCTGACCAAACCCGGAAACGGCTCTCATCGCTTCCGCTTGTCGCAGAGCGCGTTATCAGCCGTAGTAATTAATAGCGATATCTATGGACTTGTTAAACTAGCTAGCTATTTTTGGTGTTTTATTAAATTTTTATATCTAAATATTAGTGAAAATAATGCAAGTTATCGGTGATGGACGTTGGTTATGATTTTTGTATCTTTACTCTGAAGGCGTCTTGAGTAAAACGGCTTCATAATTAACGAAGCATATGCAAAACGCTTGCACCGGAACCGGAAGTATATTGCGCAGAACCCCTATAGACTGGGTTTGAGTTAAATAGACTGGGTTTGGATGGCGAAACTATTTCTAAAGCGGTGGGTGGAACGAAATCGGGTTTAACGCGCGACTATAGAATGCGCAATGTAAGCAAGCCGATTCTACAATTTCAACAGCTCAAGTTTTAAATCTCTCTCTTGTTTCGTGAGAGTTGGCGCAGTTCCCCACGTTGATTAAAACGTCTAAGAAAAAATTTTTAAAAATTAAAAAATCGTATTTAGTCATTAACCCTTCAGTGACCCTCTGTTCAGAATCTCTACTATTGTCGAATACGAAGAATCGTTATTTTATAAATCTGTAATTTGAGTGAATCAATGAGTGAATGTGGGGAAGTTTTGAATATTAGCATGTTATTACTGCATTTAACCCGAATTAATCAAATTGAGAAGTTTTATTTGCGACCGGGTTATTATAGTTAACTAAAACTGAAACCAAAATCAAAACCATATTAACATTTGCTTCACTTGAAACAATCGTTAACGGATATAAAATAGAGATATTATTTTTTACATTTCTTTATATATTTATTTATTTCTAATTTTGTCAGGTGTGGCACTCCATACTTTCACAAGAAAAGTAAAGTTATTATTATATATTTTCTGCAGGGATGCTGCAGCGTCTGCAGCTGGACTCTCAGCCGGACGACTTGAGCTTCATCGGCTGTATAGCAAAGACGATGTTCAGAGATGACACCACTAACTGGGGCCGGATCGTGAGTCTGGTGGCCTTCGGAGCCGTGGTGTGCTCACAGCTGAAGGAGCTGCAGAGGGAGCGGTGCGTG